CTCACTGGGGGAGCAGGGCGATGAAAGCGAAGGCCAGGTCAGGCCACTGAGTGCAGGAGACCTGGCCCCACACTTGCTCTCTCAGGACGGACTTGATGCCAAATGGCACAAAGGGCTCGCAAAGACAACGTCCCCACCAGGCAGGGTCTGCTGTTCTCAGGTGACTGGATGACAATGGGCTCACCTTTCATGTCGGAACACTTCCTTCCCCTTTTTTCACTTTAAGCACTTCCTCTCAGAATCACAGAAAGCTTTCAGTTTCTACTCAGCCCCTTGAAAACATGCCCTGAGCACCTACTGTGTGCACCAGGTAGGTGCTGGGGCCACAAGGGGCAGAGGGCAGGTGAGGCTCTGAGGGGAGGGACAACTCTAACCACACCCTTCCCAAGCACCCACTGCGACAGAGTGGCAGGGCATGGGGTGTCTGCCCGCTCAGGCAGGTCAGGAGACTCAGGACAGCGAGGGGCAGCAGGTCAGTGAGGCCAGGCGGGCTGAGGGGCGTGGTGGTCACGCTGCCTGTTTGGCAGCGACCACATGGGACCTGGAAGGAGACTGTCCAGAGCTGGGATGGCGCCCAGGGGTTGGGAGTCGCTGTGGTGGAGACAGGGCCGGGGTCAAGGTGGCTGGAGGGAGGCCGCAGGCGTGCGGGGAGCACCTTGTGCCTCCCAGGGCAGCGCTGCCCAGCCCGAGCACACGTCTGGCCTGTCTTCCACTGGATATAACTGGCTCCATGCAATCAAGAAATTGTCCCTGTGGCAGGATTCCAGGTTTGCATCAGCCAATGAGTGATATTAGGGCGGCTGTAAGTGCCACAAAAACTGGCAGGTGAGCTGCTCCTAATAACAAGAGCACTGCCTCCCAGGGCGAGGCAGCTGCAGCCCAAGACCAGCGTCCAGGACCCCACTCTGTGCTCTCAAGGTTGTCCCTGAAAAGACAAGCTCAAGGGTGCTCAGGATGCTGGAGGAAGGAGAAAGGGCAGCAGTCACAGGGCTGGGGCCATGACCGTCAGGCACCGGATCCTGTGTGGGATTCAGTACATTCAGTAACTGGTGCCACCCTAAGGCCCAAGTACCTCTCAAAGGACGTATCTAAGTCACAGAGAGGCCAACTAACCTGCCCAAAGGAACACAGCATATAAGTGGTTCAGACAGGATTCAATCTCGACGTCTGTGGGAACCAACTCAGACGTAATCACCGTATGACACCCGGAGAGTTGGATTTAAGAAGCAAGAGAGTGGTGAGGCAGGGAGCTAACGGGGAATGGACATCCCCAACCATTTACAGCGACTGAGCAGGTGAGGGTGAAAGTCAGAGAACGACAGAGGCTTCGAAGACCACGAACACCAAGCTTAGGACTCCACAGCTCCAGGCTGAGCTTCAGTGAGCAGCACTTGTGACACCCCAGGGTGACCCTTCTGCAAAGAGGCGGGACCTGGCGGGCAGGGTTTCTGTAAGGATGTGTGGTCACTCTAGGAAGTAAAACGGCTTCTGCACTCTGGAACACAGAGGTTGAGGAAGCGCCCTGCAGTGCAGGGGAGCAGCCGCTGGGGGTGCAGGTCCCATGGGGACTGGGTGCAGCACACCTAGAAGTACCCAGGGAGGGCCCCTGATTCTGGATCTACCCTACTCGGAACCACTAGGTAACACTGGGCTAGCAGGGTCGGGGGAAGTTTACATAAATAAAGTAAGACATTTCTTTTAGGAACAATTAACAACTGAGATCGTTGTTTTCCTATCATTAAAGAAGGGAGTTGAGGTGGGGAACAAGCTGACTAGCTTCTGACAACTATGCTGGGACAGCATCAGGGAGGCAGAGGGAAGCCCAGGTGGCACTGGTCCGGGGCACTGCAAGCTGAATGCCTGTCTGGGGAGAGAGCAGTGCTGGGGGTGGCCGTGACTCCCAGGAGACCTGCAGTGATGCTGAGGTCCTCAGGTGCGTGGGTTTCTATATGCTGGAACTTTCTTCAGAGGGCGTGGGCAGATGAGGGAACCAGGGCCCTGTGTATGCCTGCTCCCGGCCTCTGGGCACGTTCTGCTCACTGGCCAGCAGACACTGTGGCCCTCACTAGCACACAGTGCTCGGTGTCATGGCTCCTGGAAGGAGGGCAGCTTGGGTGGAACGTGTCCTCTTGTTCCCCAGGAGCTGTGGAGCCTACTCGGTTTCAAGACAGGCACTGCTCCACAGAAGGAAGGCGCTGTTCTGTGCCGGATGTTGCTAAGGGGCCTCTCAATATCTCACCAAAGCACCACTGTGTGTGTGTGCGGCGTAGGTGTCTGGGGAGGGGCCGTGTGGACAGGTGTGTGTGTCAGTGTCAGAAGAGGCTCTGTGGCTACGACTGTATCCCTAGGTGCAGGGGAAGACACTGCTCCCTTTCAGAACTGAGGCCTGGAAGGTGACAGACATCTAGTTATTAAGAGCTCATTTGGAGACATTATTTATTTTCTTGTTCTAAAATGCGGTGGAGTGAAGGAATAAAGGCAAGGTGGAACGCCAAGTCCCTTTCATGTTGAGTGGAAATGCCTGATGGTCAACAGTCCTCGGCCCTACCCTCAATTCACACTTCAGCAGCTTGAACTTCCTGCCTGGGGTGGCAGGGAGAGGGCTCTGGCTCAGTGCGGTGGACTTGGTAGCAGGTATCACAGCTTTGCACTCGATGTGCAGTTATTCTGGCGGAGAAAGCTGCACTCTAGAGAGTGGATGAGTGTGGACGATTCAGTGCTGCTCATCATCCCCCTCACAGAACACGGGAGGCCCTTCTCTTTCCTGACAGATGGATTCAGAAGAGGCTCAGCATGGCAACTGTGGCCAAGCCCCATTCTCTGCACCTTGTGAGGTTTAAAGGACTTTTCTTTCCAGTCCTTGAAAAGGAGCAATCTGCAGTAGCTCGAGCCCGACTGAGGTGTGACAATCCGCCAGGTCTCTCTGCCGCTCACAGTGGCCACAATTACACGGTCCGTGTGCAGGGGAGCTGCAGACATTCCTCCCCAGGAGCAACAAGGACCCCAGTACAAAAGGTGCCCACTGCATCCTCAGGAAAGGCAGGGTGGGAGAGTGGGGAGGGAAGGGCCTGGCGAAGAAGGGCACAACGGAAGAGGTGGCTAAGCAGAGTGGTGACATGGCAAGAACAGAGAGCGGCACTGTCACGGCCAAGTAATCCTATGACACACTGCTGTCACTCACCACCCAGCTCCCTGCCGCGCCAGCCAGACATCAAAGGCCGGCCCCACACCATCTTACATGCTCCTTATCAGCTAATCAGCCCATTCTTTCCTGAATAAAGCCCTGTTAAATCCCCCGCTCACAGGGGTATCATGGTCTTGGTGCCCATCTGTTAGCCAGGGTCAGCTCAGGCAGGAGGCGGCAGTTGCTCCCTCCCTAGCGGCTCCTCAAGGTAGGACAATGCTGCCTCAATCCCCTGCCCAACTGCCTCCTGCTTTGTGTCCTGGGGCCGGGGCCAGACAGGATGGCCGCTCTGGGCAGAGGGGCTACTGTCTGGGCCAAGACTTACTTGTGAAGTTTCCATCCTAAAGGCAGATCGTCAGAACAGTAAGATGTGGGGACTGTTTGTATTCTCCAAAAGCAAAATACACCGAGGCACTGTTCCTAACAGTTGTCACTGGGCAGGTCCATTCCCGCCTCCTCAAAGAGCCAGTGTTTTACAGACGGTGGCAGGATATTCAGGCTAAACGCTCTCGCTAGGAGGCCTGTCAGACATGGACTGGGGAGCCCGTGGTTTCGCTGCAGTATGTGCTGGTACCAATGACACCTAAACCAAAGACAGGGACCCAAGTCTGGGGCGCTGGAGTCCTAGCCCAGCCACAAGGCCTGGGGGTGGAGCGAGAAGGGGGCGACAGCACACAGCACATGCAGGACTCCACACACCTGCCTCTCAGCACAAGCAGGGCCTGGTCCTACCTGAGAGGTCACGTGAGGAAGAACCCTCAAGTTCCGAGCCTAGAGAGGTCTCGCCTGCAGGTCATCCAGCCGGGCACCTCGTTCCTCTGCCTTCTAGCTGTCTGACTGTCCACTTGGTTTGAAAGGTGTACTCACCTGTGTCACCTGATCTCAAAACTAACACGGGCTTTCTTCTCCCTTTTGCAGGTGAGGAGACAGAGGCTCTGAGATATTGAGCAATGCACATCAGAGGGCAACTGAGGTCCATGTCCCCCGACTCTGAAGCTGTCATTCCACACGGGTTCAGGCAGCAGCAGGAGAGGCCTGTGCCTACTCCTTCCCTGTGTGCCCTCAAGTCACAGGGCTGAGACCAGTGTGCTGCCTGTGCCTGGCTCCTTGCAGAGTACTTGTGGGGTCTCTAGAGCTCCAGCTACGGCAAGGGCTAGGCCTGGTGCTCAAAGAACACCTCATCCTTGAGGAGAAGACGACTTTCTAATGATGTCTGATGGGTGGTCGTCCTGGTACTGTGCGGCCAGACGCAGCGCACAGGGGCAGCACCCCTTTCTGGGCCTCCTCTTACCAGCTCTTGCTGTTCGGGACGCTCTCTTTTGGGGGAAAGAGGCCGAGTTCACTGCTCTAAGCCCTCAGTACCAAGGTGTCTCAGCCCCGCGTGGGGCCCAGCCCCGCGTCAGCCCCTGGGGCCGGTGTGCTGCACACCTGGGTGTCCTTGGCTCCTGGAGCCCAAGGCTTGGCACTCACCCTTCCCATCTCAGGAGGACAGGCCTGTTATCAGGGATAATCACAGAGTACACCAGGAATCCACTGCCCGGCCCCGAGGCTCACCTCCACTAGGACACGAGGACAACTTGTGAGGACTCTGTGCTCCACAGTCCCCACTGTGCGGGCCCGACAGAGACGCCAGGGAACTTCTGGGGGACTGGGTGTTTTTCCTCTTATTTCGGGTGCTTATTACATAGAAATAGGCAGATCCTAGTGATAATTCACCACAAAAAACAAATACAAAGGCATGCTGGGCCACCAGCCCACTGCAGCACCTCACCACTCCTTGGCGCTGCTCGGATCCACCGGGATCAGCTTGCCCTACCTTTTCAGGTTTGCCCTCCTCTTCTTCGCAGTGGAGACACTGAGATTCCTGGGTGCATCTCTGAGCCCAAAGCTCTTGGCCACGTGCCCAAGGTGGAGGGATCGTACGTGGAAGATATGCTTCAGCTCCCTGGGATAGGCAGCATAGGCGCGGATGAAGGACTGCAGGGCTAGGAGGGATGAGAGAGGCTGTCAGGACTGGGTCCTGGAGTCCCACAGCCCCCAGACTGCTGCGTACCCCAGGTCTTTATCTCCCCAGGCAATGGAACCCAACCAGGACAGTTATAACACAGTTGGCCTAAACCTATACTTCTGCGTATATTTAAAATTCCTAAACAATCATAGTCACAATTACTTGATAAAACCAACACGATCTCTGATTTTACTTCAGAATTTGTAATAATCCAAGGGCAGAGGACCCTGTTTCTTTTCTGGGTTGTGGTCTCGGGACCCAGTGCACACCTGGTGCTCAGCAGGCACTTGACAAATGTTGTATAAATGAATAAGGTGAGAATGGGTGAAGAAATGAAGAGTTGATCACACAGGACATCACCTTCTTATAAAAATGAGGGAATTGTTAGACAGCTATATTAGGAAAATTTTTTTCCTGATTGAATTTGCTGTATTGGTTAATGCGTGCATTTCAAAATTCAGGAAGTTGAAAAGGCTTTATTATTCACTATGAATATGACAGTGCTTCTTGGCACCCTGTCCACACTTATCACCACCCAGCCCCTGGTATGTTCATGGGATTTTAGGACCAAGTTCTTCCAACAGTGTCCAGGACTGACCAACACAGCATGTCTAACTCACTAAAAGAACGTGTAAAACAGAAAATGACAAAAGAAATGCAAAAAA